TATTATTTTAATGCATATTTTTATTTTAACTACATTAGTAGAAAATGACATTCTTTTAGTTTAATAAAATAAAATAAGAATTTCTTGCTTCTCTCGTTTCGCTTTGATTAACTTAAACATTGATTTAAACTTAAAAATTTATTTGATAAATTTAGAAATAGAGAATAAATCTTCTTGATTCAATGGCAATATTAAAACTATCACATTATTTATTGTTTCAATAATTCAAATATTAATTTTAATAATATTGCTATTGAATCAAGAATATATACTCCAATTACGCGTGCTGTTGAGAATTTTATTGATTCAACAAAAAAAAAGAGAACCGTCCGTCCAACTACGATGTTGAAAAGACAATAGATGTTCGGCGGCACATCGAGCGACGTTGACGTGGCAGTGATAAAAGACTAAGTGGACGCGCTATGGTCTTTTAGACCAACTGCTACAAACGTATCAAATTTCACATAGAAATAAGCGCGTCTATACCGTCTACTTCTCCATACTATACGAGAAAACATCAAATAAAATTTACGTAAAAGCGAAAATACGTTAATGTCAATAGATTAGATGATATAAATAGAGAACGAAAAAGTACGGGAAGATGACCGATACGCGCCCCCATTCTCGGGTTAAATATCCTGTGTATATATATCTTTTTTCTTGTTCAAACACACCTCTATAAACATTGAAAAGAAAATAGAAAGAAAAGAAAAGAAAAGAAAATATTTAATGAAAACAGCGTATTACCGGAATCAGGTAAGGAATTGAAGTCGCCGCAAAGCAACAGTTGAACGTTGGAAGAGTCAGGCTTGTGGCCGGGTCGGAACGACTGGCCAGCTTGGTCCAAAATGGAACGTAATTCATTGCTCAACATCATCGTTTGTATCAGTTTTACATCACAGTACTCGGGATCCCAGTGGATGTGAGCCGTGCAAACTAAAATCGGTTGTTGTACTTGTGCTGGATCAGATGGAACACCTATGAGAGAGAAATAATCGTATTCAAATTAGCCACATAGGGCATGTCTCACAGCTCACAGTTTCTTAATTTCAATGACAGATACGCTATCCAACTTGGAGTCGAAATCTTTTTGCAACGAATGAGTCATGAATGAGTTATGAGACATAGTTGTGCATGAAATAGTTAAAAACATTCTTAAAGGAATTCTAAATGTCTAAAAAATAATATGGTCGATCGTTATTATAAAAGATATTAAAAGTAACGAAATACAATTCTCGCGCATTGTTGCCTCGTAAATGTGTTCACATTTTTCATCGTGAGGAAGACACTTGGGCAATAAAATCAAAACAATGTACTGGTATCATACAGTTTATTTGGAAATGTGTAGCAAATAACTTAATTTAATGCTTGCACCAATCGTACTTCGAGCAAGCGCTTGCTTCTGCCTCTCTTAAAAATAAGCATATCTTTCTGAAAATATGCTCACCGAAATTGTCCCGAGGATTGTTTGAGAGATATGAGAGAATTAATTAACTATGTATCTCTATCCAACCTCTGAATAGTACAATTCACGTCACATTAACGTAATACAATAATGCACAATACAGATTTATTATCCACAAATTCGAATCATGTGAATCTTCCCAGACAGATAATGTTAAAGTAATTCGTAATCTATAATAATCGAATTAGTACCAACTTGTCTATTGGAGAAACATGCCTCCTATGTGGATCCGAGAAATTAAAACAGCATCCTATACGTTCAATTTGGTGTCTTCTCCCTTAAAATATAATTATCAACGTAAACACGCCGTAAAGGAGCAGACACGGATACGCTATGAGTAGTTGTTGATCTTGCTCTCCAGACATAGTGGAAAATAGCCTGGAGGCGGACAGAGCTGCCCAAGCGACGGCCAGGATCGCGAAGATCAACCCGATCGGGCCGCGCAACGTGGCGAAAACGCTGAAGCCGGCCAACACGACGACCGGCAAGAGGCAGTAACCCAGCACGGATGCGACGGACGACAGAGTGACGTTACTGTTGGTGCTCATCAACGACTGCAAAATATACATGAGTACGCAGGAAGTCAAAGCCAGGCCGTACACATAGCCAAAGTGCGCCTTTGAGCCGGCCAATAAGAGAAACGCGGCGAGCACCAGGCAGAACGCCACCGGCCCTGCGAGATCTGAGTCCTGCAGCAAATAATTCGCGTCGTCGATCTGGCCCCTCCTATGGAATGGATTTAACACGGCCAGAGTCTTTTGCATTATCCTGTCGGGATCAATGCCCAGCTCTTCCAACAAAGGTGGCTCATCCTCTTCCTCACCGAAACCAGTGGTACCTGCAAGAATGCCTTCAATAGTTTCAGAATTCTCATTACAAGGACCTTGACATCACGATCCTCGACCGAACGTTTTATTAGATTCAAAAGTATCGTATCAGGCCATGCCAGTCAACTAGCACTGCGTTTTTGGCTCATCAAGCTTGTTCTAGGTTAGGTTAAAAAGTGATGTGCAGTGGTGAGAGTTCTCGACTACATCGTAGATCTGTTTTTTTTTCGAAGAATTTCTTTCTGAACTGGTGTACACTGATGTAATAAATCAAAATGAAAATGTTTTCTTCAAAACAAAATATATTTGTTTCGAAGAAAAACAGGCCTACATCGTTTTGTAACTCATTGTATTGGGTAATAAGTGAAACAAGTATATTACTCTAACTTAATGCATTAATGCACACCAATTCAGAAAATTCCTTGAAGAAGCACCGTATTTTTTATGTATTTTCGAACGCTAAGTACGCCTTTCTGATTCTCAAACTAAAACAGCTTCGTGTGCGCGCGCGGGATACTCGTGTACGAAAAATGGATCTTTAAATAGAAAGGGCGTATCTAGCGTTTGAATACGCGTCAAGAATGCGAGTCCAAATTTATCGTTGAAAGGACATAAACATCGTTGGAAGAACAATAAAAGGGGCGCACACTGCGAATGGTAACGTTACTACGACGAAAGTTTCAGTTCGAGGATCGGACATTCGTGATGATAAAAGATTTGTGTGTTTCAACCTTTTCCATAGTCATCCTGTACGAACATGTCGCTGCTGTATGGACTTTGCGTAGGATCTAGAAAACCCTTCTGTGGACTTGAATAATCACCATACGGCTGGTCGCCGTACGGCTGAAAGTCGAACTGTTGGTTAGGTTGTTCGAAACCGGACGACTCAAAGAAATATTGACTCTGGGACGACTGACCCTGCGGCGGTTGTGCCCAGTAATTGTCCTGGCCTGCATACCCGGACATCTTGCTGGTGTAATGACTTCTTGGACACTTTAAACACTCGTATTTTTCCCGACGTACAACTCGAAGTGTCGACACATCGAACCGTCACAACACATTGCAAAGGTTAGGTCGGACAAGTGCTCATTGGATAACAGTGAGCACAAAGTTACCGATGCGTACTTACCGAGAACTTTCACTAGATGGCATTACGAGTACTAAAGCGCGAGCACCTAGGAGAGCGGTAGTAGAAGCGATCGATTAGGTCATAAGTGTAATTAATTGCCTAATTGTGTAATTAAGTAGTGAACAAACGGTTATACAGAGGCAATGCGCGTTGCTATCTACGCATCAGAAGTTAGTTGATCTTTCAAAGGTAAATAAATTTAATGTATACCATCGAAACGAAAGCCCGCAACAATGGCAGACATAGGTATTCGATTTAGAATCGTAAAAGTATTGGGAAAGAAGTGAAAAAGAACATCTTTCACTGATTACATTACGTGTAAACGTCAGCTCGTGTTTCCGAAAAATAGCGAATAGTATAATTTGACGGCTATCCCTATTGCTCGTAAAATAGGTTTCTATCATTAAAAAAAAATCATTCTATCAATAATTCTATCATTATATAAATATTTATAATCGGCGACACAACCCAAGTAGGACAGAAAATCACGTAAACGTCAAAATGACAAGAAAATGACCAAATCGTGATTAAAAAGTGAGTTTCCTAGTCATTTTGAGATTAGTTTAACATCATCGTGATTTCTCATTCTGTCTGGGAAGTCGCGTAATGTAAACATACAAAATTCAATACTCATTGAATATAAATTTGTCAAAATAAAGTCGCGCGTACTTCGCCGCGGAAATTGGTCGTGCGTTAACCTCAATCTCCCTCTCGTTATTAATTGCAAGGGCGATTAAGGTGAAACGAAGCGGCGATGGCGGTACAAAGTATCAAGTTATCGGTACACACAATTAGGACATTCATCAGGGTTAAGGGAGTGTAAATTCCGAATCCTCCGTTCGGCCGGCTCGGCTTGTAATAAGGCTCGTAAATTAGCCCCGCTGATACTCTTCGTTGTGCAATTGCGCCTTAGATTAATGCTGTATTTATTTTCCCCTGTCGATAAATCCTCGCGGTCGACCAACCAGCGAGCGAATCGTCCGACTCGGAAACTGACCGTAACAAGCTTGCGTAGGATGGCGCACAAATAAAACCTCATTTACTAAAATAAGTATACCTAGTTGCAAAACAGTTTAGACACAATGAAGTTAGGATCTCACCAAACTATCAAACTTGAGAGTTATTATCGACGGGCTGTCGTAGTAATTACATACTATCAAATATTATTATTATTATTATTAATCATTATTAATTATATTATTACTTGTATTATTATTACGTAAGTCCATCGCGGTGATGATCAATTTTGACAGCTTAGTGAGCTTCCAATTTCACAATGTGTCCAAACCGTTCTGTAAACTACATATACACAGAAAAACACATACTGCATTCAAGTATATGTTATTTTTGTTTCAAATATTTCAGAAGTTTATCCGAAAATCTATCACAAGTTTATCATGATGATATCATCAACGATATGCTAAGAGATCGATTCTTTAGATTTAGATCCGATCGAACTTATCGTAATTTTACTACAACCATCGGTATCAGATTTACGTTTCTTACGAACAATCCTCGTGCGATTCTTATTTTCTCTTTCTCTCTCCCCCTCTTCTTAGATTGAATCGGATACGTTCCTCATTCGGATACGTTCCGTCGATCCCGGGGCATTTCAACGACCGTCCTGTATAGAGGATTCCCCGTCTCGAGCGGTTAGGTATTTGATATCTCGCGGCATAGTGATTCAGCTTTTATGGCGTATCAATTCACTCGCGACTTAAGTAATTCGCGGCACGTGGCAGGAAGTAAAGTCGCTCGAGATGGATAGAGGAGATGCTAACGGTACGATTCCGAGATGGTCATTCGGAATTAACGCCTGAGTGGCTGCATTACCGGAAATCGACGTGTTAACCCGTTCTATTAACTCTCACGACGGTATAATCGCTCTACAGTGCGATTACTCACGCGCCTTCTCTCGAAAAGGTCGCGTCTCGCCGAACGATTTATTTCCTCTCCGATTAGCACGATCCCTCGACGGTGTTTTAGCGAGACGCGAAGCCATACACATTGTCGAATCTGCAAATCGCAGGTAATGCGCGTCACCGAGACGAAACTGCACTTGGATCGCGACGAAGTGAAATTCATATTCAATTAGAGATCTGCTCAATCAAAGAAAATAACAGAAAAAAGAAACAAAGAGCATTTTAATCCAATTTGATTTAAATTTTTTAACATTTTAATAGCTCTCTCAAAATTTTCTCTCCCTAGCAACCGGATTTATCGCGAAAATCGCGTTCGTTTCCGAGGATTAAGCGCACCCAAGTCCTTCTTCGCCCCGCGTGGCAAATCTCCTCCTCCTCCTGCCTCGATCCTTTTCCCAGGATTATCGAACGTAAAAATCGTTATTTAATACTCCCTTGTGAGATCCGAGAAGTACACTGTCCTCTCGAACATAATATCGTAAATCCGCCGTTTAATTGCGTCCGCGAGAATCCGCTTTTACTATCGGGCCTCGCAAGATTAACCCTACTCAAACAGCTGTTTCGCCTGCGTTCTCGAACTCTCCCGCCGCGTTCTTTAGCAAACAGTCTCTCTTGCGAAGAATCCCGCCTGCCGTTCGCAAACGAGATTTGCGCGATTCTACCGATGTCTATTCGAAGAACAAAATTATGTCGCGACACAAATTCAACTACAGATCAACTGCTACATTAACTACTGCTACAGATCACAAAGAATATACACAACACGAAACGAGTCCAGAAGGTTACGCTGCATATGATGCTGCGTACTATATTGGTGCAACCAATACAGAGGAAAAGAACAAACTTACAAATTGAGCTCCGGTGGCGCTGTCTATATTGAGAAAACAGCCAGTCTAGAGATTACCATAACTACACGCAAAAAAATGATTTAGTAATATCAGCTAAACCGCGATAGCTGATTCAAACTTAGTCAAAAGGCTAATCGTTTAGCTGTCACTGTTAAGAATTGGCTATGACAGCTAAAGAAGATGCATTCGCTATGAAATACAAATATATTATAATATAGGTGGCATTAAAAATGAACATTATTTCAAGTAGCTAACAAAATGGCAGTTATTCCTAAATTTCTTATGCATATATTAAAGAAGTTTGTCATACAGCTACAATCATTTGTTACAGTCATTTATTTCTAGTAGCTAATATTTCTCGCCTAAGTTTAACAACGAATAAATTTAGCTTCGGTAGTATCGACATTAGCTGTCCCTATTTCAGTGACACATCTTATTTGCCACAGCTATTTTTTAGCTCTGGAAGCTAGTTCTTTTTTTGCGTGTACAGAGAAAAACTGATCGGAATCTATACTCAGAGATAGTAAAATATTCGCACAAATTAGATTCCATCTAGCGTCTATCTAGATAAACTGTATCAGAAAAATTGGACAGACGCTAGAACTAAACCAGTTTTTGCCAAACAAATTTCGAATGGATATCTCTACTTTAATCCTGATTTTCATGCATCTTTATCATTCAATATCCGTTATTATTCCCTTTTTTCTTTTTATCGATCAACAAAATTCTAAGCGATATTCTTGTATACCGCTGTAAAATATTTCAATTCTCTTCCGAGAATTTTATCCGAGCTGCTTCCTCATTTAATTCTTTCCGTTCTGTCGTTGAGCAGTGCATTGCGTCGATAAATATGATCGACTAAAAATGAAATATAACTGGAGAAACGAGGGAGATATACGAGGCGGGGAAAGGGAGAGATTTGAATTTCTTCGTAAACAATAAAGTTTTCTACAACGGAACGCTAATCCGGCGATAATGTCATGAAACTCGATATCATGTTACGTAATGCCGTGGGATTGAGAGGAATCGGTAACACACGACGGCTGCTCGCTCTCGGCAATACGGATATTCCGAGTGTAAATCAGGCTAGATTAGAATGGAGGGGTTAAGGTGCCTTCGATGGCGGTTGTACGACAATCGTACCCGCGAGCCGGCAGGCGCCGGGTCGAACCATCCCGTAAATTACAGAGGGAATCAATATCAGTCTCCCTCTCTTCTCTCTCGTTCTATCTCTTCCTCTCTCTCCTTCCTCTCTCTTTCTCTCTTTCTCTCTTTCTCTCTCTCTCTCTCTTACCAGCATTAATATATATACAACAGTATATGCGTCCGGTCTAAAGTGCATCTATGAATGATTATGAGCGTCATTCCGAGGAGAGTTGGTTTCATCCTTATGGAGATTTTTAAACGCAATCTGTCCAATTAGACCGTCGTGACGTTTAATGAGATATCTAGTGCCAATATATCAATTCGCGAACAGGCCCACAGAACGTTTCAAAACATGATGTACGTATTTCTCAAGTTCTGTCTCATGAAACATATGACCAACATTTTACTCGAACAAAAAGTACTAATTAATCTAAGAAATTCAATTTATTTTCTTAAATTTCATTTTTTTCAAAAACGGATATTAAAAAAACAATCACAGAAAAAAGTATACAGAAATTAAATTTTTATCTTATATATACTATATATATATAAATTGAACAATCTTTGGTACACTGAGAGAGAAAGAGAAAGAGAGAGAAAGAACATATCTAAAAAATAGTAAATATTTATTCAATGAGTACTACACATATTTACTTAAACTAACTTAATTTTACTCTCTCTATAACTCAATTTATTAATATATTTACTTACACTAATATAAAATATTTTTCAAATAAAAAAATTCACATTTTTTTAAAGCTCTTAAGAAAACATTAGCTTTCGACGAAAGCAATTATTTATCCAATTGAAATAAAAAAAATTTAGACTTAAATAAATATATTATTAGTGCCCAAAAAATAAATATTTTTCTCTCAGTGTAGAATGCATAATCTGAATCAACATAAGTTCGCACGTTCGGATAAATTGGAATGTTCGAAGACTCGTATAATCTGGATAATTTGGAAATTCGGATTTGAGTAATCAACTGAAAATTCTTTCAGGCTATTCAGTCATCAAATTATCCACATATCTCCGGTCTTAGTTGAGACGGTC